CACCTGCTCCACGCCTCCGGGCCCCCACCTCTCCACCGCCTGCACACCCGCATTCCAGGAGCCTCTGGGACGGGAGAGCCAAGGTGACTGGGGACACAGGCCAGGCCTGGGGCGCCCGTGGAAGCCACCCCCAAGGCACAGCACCGCCCGGCCAGAAGCCCCATCCCACCCTCTTCGCGAGCCAGGTCCTGGATGCCAGGGGGCCCTGCAGCTGTCTGCCCCGGGGCTCCCCGGGGGTGCGTGGGACCATGTCTACGATGAGTGTGTCACCGGGCAGCCCAAGCAGGGGCCCCCGAGTCCTCAGTGCGCCCTGGCCAGGTGAGTGAATGAGAACGAGCAGGTGCACAGGCCTCAACGCGCCATGCCACACACCTGGTCCTTCTAGCCCAGCTGGGCCAGCCACACCTGCCCGCTCACCCCAGCCCCGCAGACGCAGACTGACGGTGCCCCGCCTCCTGGGCGCCAGCCAGCCCCTCCCCTTGCACTAATTCGACATGAGCCACCTCTGATCCGCTGGCACAGGGTCACCAAAACCCCAAGCAGGAACACCAGCCGCGGCGTGGGAGCGGCCGAGTCCCAGCCTCTGCACTCGCTGCCGCGGGCCTGGCCCGGCGTCTCTAGGGCTGTCCACAGCGGCGTGCCTTGTACTGACGAGGACCCCCTTCTCCAGAACCCCGGGCAGTGTGCCCGGGGGCTCTCTGCACTCGGGCACTTCCCAGCTGCGTGGGGCCGGGCAGCCCTCCCACGCCCACGGCTGCAACGGGCAGGCTCGGCGTGCCGCTGACCAAGTCTCCCTCGCGGTCACAGCGCGTCACAACGGAAGGGCGAGTCCAGGCGCTGCCCGCTGCCCGCCAGGGAGGCGAGCCCAGCCACCGCACCTTCTCCCTGATCTCCAGGGCGCGCTTGCACAGCGGCTCAGCCTCCTTGTACTTCCCTCTCTTGCCGTAGAGCACCGCGAGGTTGTTCAGCGTCGCCGCCACCTGCCAAAGCAGAGGGCGGAGTCAGCGGGGCCGGCGCGGGGCGCAGAGGGGCGCTTCAGCCTCAGGGACAGGCCACAGGGTCATACTGAGGCAGTCAACGTGGGCCAATCAAACGTGATCTTGATTTCTTTCAGCTATACTGAAAGCCACAGCCAACCACTAGATGTGTGCAGCGCGGACCGATTTCACGACTGGATTCTTCAGGAGAAAATTTATGGGAGAACATGCGGTTTGATTTGGGATCAAAAACACGGGCTGTGCCCGGGGCCTGGCCCGGCGCCGCGCCCTACCTGCGCCGTCCAGCGGGGCAGCGGCCTGAGCCCTCCCTGTGGAGGCCAACGGCAGAGGGGTCAGTGGAGGGCAGGGGCAGGGGCGCGGGGCGCGGGCGGCGGACACGCACCGCAGGGTGGTCTCTGCCCAGCGTCTTCTCGCGGATGGCCAAGGCGTCGTTGAGCAGGTTGGCCGCGTCTTTGTACTTGTTCTGGTCTCTAAACGAGAAACACACGTTCAGCGTTTCCTGGTGGCGTCGTCTTTTTAAAGTTTAATTCTAGAACTAAAGAAGTAAGTGTTAATTGCCAGCTACTGAAAAAACGAAGCACTGGGCTTTTCACTACAGGAAGCACGTCAGGCCTTCACAAGCATGGCCAC